CACGTCGTCCAAATACACAAGGAATGAATTGTACATTAGCCTCTCGAAGGTTGCCGGAGCATTGCAGAGGCCAAAGGGCATGACTGTGAACTGCCATAATCCTTGACCTGTCGAAAACGCTGTTTTCTCTTTGTCGTCTGGGTGTACATCGACTTGCCAATAGCCACTCTTTAAATCGAGAGTTAAAAACCATTTGGCCCCGGCCAGTGTGTCCAGGGTGTTGTCAATGTGGGGTAGTGGAAAGCAATCCTTGGTGACGTCGTTCAGTTTTCTGCAGCCCACACAGAAATGGAGCTCCCCATTCTTTTTCCTGACCAAAACGACCGGGGACAACCAAAGGCTGTCCAATTCTTCTATAACCCCCTGTCCTTGCATGTTCTCGAGCATTTCCTTTACTTCTGCTTGTTTTGCCAGGGGTACCCTCCTCGGTGGCTGTCGGCTTATCGCTAACCCATCCCTGAGTGACCAGACTGGTGTTGGCCTTTTCCGTTATGTCGGTGAGTGCATAGTGTGGGGGCCTTAACGCATATGCCAGCGTCCGCCCCTGTCCACCGGCCCTTGCTCGTTTCTCCAGCTTGTTTCCTTGTTGTTTCCGGGTTGCCATTCCGATTTCCTTGGCGATTCCCGCTTATTTCTTGGGGGTCCTTTTTGGTCCTGGTGCTGTCTATTGTCATTTCCTCTGCCATAGTGGCTATTGCTCTCAAACTTCCAGCTTCTGGACTGTTGAGCGTCTCCTCGTTGGGTGGGGGACAATCGGAACTTCTGGTATGTCTTGGTGCTATCTTCATGAGGTCTAGCTGCTACCAGTACCATCTGCAGCTCTAGTGCTTGTCGGAGGGCCTCATTTACTGTCTTCTCCCCTCCCAGCAGCAGCTGACTCTTTATATTGGCATCTTGTATTCCATATACGAATGCTTTTCCTGCCTCTCTTCCTATGTGGTCTGCAGGTAGATTGGGGTAGGCACGAAGGGCAAGCAGTTCAATGGCCGTGGCAAAGTCTTGCAGGGATACTCCAGGTTTCTGCATCGTTGTTCTTAACTGGCAATGGTAAGCAGCTGCAAAGTGTTGGTCCCCAAAACGGTCCTCCAGTGGCCGAAGTGTTTCCTGGTAAGTGGTATTTGTCGGAATGCCGGGTAGAACTTCTGCCGCCCGGCCCTTCAGAGCAGTGATCAGGTATGTTGATTTTTCCCTGTCTGACCATTGCTTGTGTTCTGCTACGGTCTAGAATTGTCGCCGGAACACACTCCACGTTGAATTCCCGTTGAATGTCAGTAGTTGAGCTGTGCCCGCGCTGATCGTGGGTGTGATTCCCCGCTCGGTCCTCATCTGTACTATGTCCAACCAGGCCTGGAACTCGCGTTTGGTTTCGTCAATTGCTGCGCAGGTTTCATTGTAGTTTTTTGTCGGGTTTTCCTGGAATTTATCTGTCAGCGTGCAGAGGGACACTTCCACTGACTGCAGTTCCCTTTGTGTTTTTCCAGTTCTTTCTGTAAGCTCCTGAAGCTTTACATCTGTCCTGGCTTGGTTGATGTCCATCATCTCCTTCAGTTCTCTTCGGTCGGTCTGTCTGTCATCCTCCAATCTGGCCAGCAATTCCTTGAGGCTGATCTCCGCCTTTTCTTGATAGGAGTCTAATTTGGCCATTAAATCTTCTGTTCAGTTTTCCCATCGGCCTTCATTTCTTCTTGATGAGTTCAGAACATTTCTTGCATCTGCACTTGGTCGGCATCTGCTTTTACTTGGTTAGCCCTCATCTCTTTCAGAAGTTCTACCTTCTCGGTTTTTCTATCGGCATCTAATTTTGCCAGGAAATCCTCTGTGTTTCTTTCGATTGGCCTCCATCGCTTCCTTCTCTTTCAGCATTTCCTCTGTCTTTCTTTCAATTGGCCTCCATTCTGTCTTGCATCTGCACTAGGCGTTTGAACAATTTTTCCATATCCATCATGTGGCAGTACAATTCGTTTCAATAGTTTGTCCCTAGTTAAGGAGTGTTTAAGTTCGTAAACAATTCTGACATCAGTGTAACGTGTTTGCTACTGAAGACGCCATTCGGATTGTTAATTGGTTTATTTAACAACCTACAAGTCTCGGCTACAATTAATTATAACAAAGTTGCGGGGTTTCACACTTTATAACCCTATTCGCAGTAATCTGTTCACACTTTATAACCCTATTCGCAATAATCTGTTCACTCTGTCTTCAGTAGTCTACATGTATTCACAGTACAGGAGCTATGTAAGTGTCCCTGTATCC